CACACACACACACACACACACACACACACACACACACACACACACACTTATTCATGTAAACCAAAGCACTATATTTAGTGTCAGATGCAGACTTCAGTAAATACAAAGGAAGGAATAACAGTTCCATAAAGTTAAGGACCTCTGAGGTTAAAGAGTTTTTTACCCTAAGATCTGGGAACAAAAACAGATTAAAAAAAAAGACTACAAGTATTTTCTAAAAGCTAGGATGTAACTTAATCAATATTCGATAGCAGAGTCAAACACTGGGCATTTAGTGTATTGGTTAATTTTAAAAAATAATTTTTTTCACAGTGAGTTCTAAATCCTTATAAGATTTTGCTGGTTTTAGTAGAAAGACACTCATTGGCACAGGGTTTTTTCACGTGGTGTCCGCAGCTTCTCCCATTCAATATAGAGTAAGGCATAGAAGGGTTCACCCATGGCTGCAAGTCAGTGAAGAGAGCCTCTTCACCCACTCCTCCAATTATGAAATTAGGTTTATCATCTAACTACAGACTAATTGGAACTAGGGCATGTGGATGTTTTCTGTAGAATCCTTGATCAACCATCCCATGTTTATTCTAATGCCAGCTGTTAGAGATGCAGTGACCTTGAGGAGACAACCAGACGCTTCCCAGTGTTCATCAAGTCAGCTGCAAGCATTGCCGCTGCATTTTCCTCTGCCTAAGGCAGGTAAAAGGAGATGGGCAAATCCAGACAGAGAAGTCTGGTCTCCAACCACAGGTAAGGGATCCATTCCCCCTTGACCTTGCTCCAAGGAAAGTATGCAGCCCTAATTCCGTTCCCAAAGTTTAACTACTTTGTTATTTCATTATTGAACTTTAAACAGCTTCCTGCCAAGCATGGCTAGCAAACCCCTGGTGCTCATTAGTGGCCTGTTGGAGTGGGTTCAATGTCAGGACTGGCAGAGTCTTCTTCACAGTTTAAAAGAATTCATGTGTATTTGTCTCAGCAGATAAAATCCGAAAAGCACCTGAATGATGCCTCAGCAAACAGGAATATGGTGCCTGAGGGCTTCAGGAGTAGTTTCTGCACCTCTTCCTAGCACCAACAGGAATTCCAGGGCCCGAAGGGGCTGCTGCCTTAACCTCCCAGAGAGGCTCTGAAGTTCCTTCTGTTTTTAAAATGAAAACAAAGGTGTGTCTTTCTAGAGGGCAGTGATTAAACACCAAGGCTTGGCCAAAGGCCTCCAGCCTGGCCTATGGCCACCAGGAGTAGAGAGATCCAGCTGGTGTGAGAAGCATAATTCAATCTTTTTTTTTTTTTTTTACTCAGAACCAAAGTTTGGGGATGATAGCAAAGGAAATTGTCCCAATCCATCCACATATCAGACGTCACCCAGCCTGACATGATCGCGGCTCTGGACACCAGCTATGTCCCATTTTTTTTTTTCCTGGCTTGGACAGTCTAGAACTCCATATACTGGGGGTTGGAGGCCTAGGACAAAAAAAGGGGGGCGGGACACGAAGGAAGGGTTTGAGGAGAGAGTTTGCCCCATTGAGACCACAGCATTCCCTAGCCCCACTCCCAACCACTGGCATCTGGGCCTCAGTCAGCAAAGCGCTGCATTAGATGGTCTTCCCGCCTGCTCCCTCCGCTGCCACCCCCACTGTCCATGAAGCGGTCACAGGGGAACTCGATGAGGTCCGCCTCGCTCAGGGCGCACACCGCCGTGCGAGGCCGGTGGGACTGGAAGCCCGAGAAGTCTGCCGAGACCCCGGTGCCCATGGAGCGAAGAGGCCGTCGGGTGGAATACATCTGACGCACGTGGACCGGGGCTCCCCCTTTCCGGCGGCCTCGCAGCTTCCTCCGAAGCCAGCGGGATGCCCAGGCCGCCAGTGCCAGGAACACCAACAGAGCGTTGACAGCCAGGAGTACCAGGGTCAGCAACTGGTAGTCCACGCCTCCTGCTCGGGTCCCCACGTGCCCGGCTTCTGGCAGGGTGACCAGCCCCGCGCAGTGGTCCCGGGGAGCCACAGGACAGACCCGGCCCCCGAGCACGGCCTCCACGCACACCAGGTAGGGGGTGTCGCTCCGCAGCTCCCGCAGCGTGGCCGTGTCGCTTCGCTCCGGCAGGTAGACAAAGCGGTGGAATTTGGGCTGCTGACCAAAGCGGTCGAAGAGCAGGCGGAAGCGCGCGCCGTCCAGCGGCCATGGGCTGCGGTGCTCGCGGACAGCCCAGCGCACGGTGGCGGTGTCCGTGCCCACCGCCTCCACGGTCAGGTTGCAAAGGATAAATTTGTTGAAGTCGCACGGGTCCGACACCAGTGGGGGCGGCATCTCCTGGGCCACCGACGGGGCGGCCCGCTCCTGATGCTTCGCAGCCAGGCGCTGCATCTCCGCCCTCTGCCCGGAGTCGCTGGCGGGCGATGGGGCAGAGCTAGACGGGGCGTCACTCTGGAAGCTCGGGGTGGACTGGGAGGGGCCGTTATCTTCCCAGCTTGGGCTCGTCCCCTCGGGTTTCTCCACCAGATCCACGGGTGGGGACAGTTGAAGCGTAGTTGCCGAGGAGGGGGATGGATGCTGGAGGCCTGGGCCCCGCCGGCTAAGCCTCAGGCCGCTCTGGTTGCTGCTGTGTGCCCCCGCCCCCTCGTCCCAGGTCACCCCGGGGTGGGCAAGTCGGCGCTGCTGCTGCTGCTGCTGCTGCGGCTGGGGCTGGGGTTTCCCAAGATCGCCAAGAGGGGGCGCCCGCGGCTCCTCCCCGGCTCCAGCCGCTGTAGAGACAGCGGGCAGGACAGAGGCTGGGGAGGAGGAGGAGGCCGGGTGGAGGCAGGAGCCGTTCTCCAGTTGCACGTCGTCCAGGTAGTCTAGGTACTTGCCGCGCAGAGCCGGCGGGTGACGGCACTGCACGAACACCGTCAGCAGGCGGCCCTGCGAGTGCCAGTGGCCCATCCAGCGCTTCAAGCCGCGCAGACGGCAGTCGCAGGTCCAGCCGTTGCCGTCCAGGTCCAGGCTGTAGAGGGCCGGGCTGGCAGTGAAGATGTCCCCGGCGAGCGAGCCGAGCTCGTTGTCCCGCAGGTTGAGTTCGCGCAGCCGGGACAGGTGGCGGAAGGCGGCCGGGTGCAGCGCCGAGAGCTCGTTGCGGCTCAGGTCCAGAGTCTCCAGGCTGCCCAGCGGGTCCAGCAGCGCGGCGGGCAGCTCCCGCAGCCGGTTGCCCTCGAGGCGCAGCTCCCGCAGGGCGCTCAGCCCCGCGAAGGCCTCGGGCGCCAGGTGAGCCAGCTGGTTACCGCTCAGGGAAAGCAGGCCGAGCCGGGGCAGGTGCTGGAAGACGCGGCCGCCCAGCTGCTGCAGGCTGTTGGCCGACAGAACGAGGGTACTGAGCGAGCGCAGCGGCCCGAAGGTGGCCGGGTGGCGCAGCGACGGCTGCAGCTCGTTGCCCGACAGGTTGAGGAAGCGCAGCTTACCCAGGTGTGCGAAGGCGTTCTTGCCCAGGAAGCGGATGCGGTTGGCCTCCAGGTGCAGGTAGAGGAGGTTGCCCAGGGGGGCGAAGGCCGAGTCGGGCAGGGAGCCAAGTGAGTTGCCGTCCAGCCTCAGCTTGACCAGGCTCTCCAAGCCCTCGAAGGAGCCCCGGTTCAGCCTGCCGATTTCGTTGCCATTGACATAGAGGATGCGCAGCTTGGCCAGAGGGGCCAGCGTGCCCGGGGCCAGACCCTCGAGCAAGTTATTACCCAGGTAGAGTTCCTCCAGCCGGGAGAGTTTCTCGAAGGTCTTGGGGTGCAGGGAGCGGATCTGATTAAACTGCAGGTCGAGGCGCCGCAGCTGCGCCAGACGATGGAAGTCAAAGGCGGTGATGTTGGCTATGAAGTTGCCCCCGAGGCTGTAGGTCAGCACCTCCTGGGGGCTGGGCAGGGCGCTGGTCTTGGGTACCGCGCGAAGCCCCCGGTTGGTGCAAAGGAGGTGCTGCTGGTGCTGGCAGTCACAGCGCTCCGGGCAGATGGGCTCCGGTGGCGGCGGCAGCGAGAAGCAGCCGCCCACCAGCAGCAAGAAGGGGACAGTCCAGGCGACCTCCATCCCCGACAGACGTGCGCTCGGGTCCCTCCGCTCAGCCCACAGCCCCGCTCATGCCCCTTTCTCTGCCCGCAGTCTGCGCCAGTCCCTCGAGTCGCTCCGTCAGGGTCCTCCCTGGCGTCGGGCTGGGTCCTCCGGGCCGGATCCGCAACGGGCGGGACGCGCCTGGAGAATCTGGTTTGGACCGAGCTCCGCCGCGCGAGCACCATCCGCGCCCCGGCGGCCGTCTGCCTGCCCGCCCGCCTGCCAGCCTGCGGACCGAGTGCAGCAGCCCCCCTGGGCGGGGCCGGGGAGTGCGGAGGGAAGCCGGCCCCTCTCCTCCTTTTGGTCCGCTGCGGGCCTGCAGCAAGGCCTGATTCCCAGCCCCCTCGGATTGCCCCGGCTGCAGGCGGGAGGGAGGTCGCTTAGCGCTCTCCGGAGGTCCTGGCCCGTCCGCGTTCCGCCCAGCCCGAGCCTTGGTCGCGGAGCAGCTTCATGGCTCCAGCCCCTCCTCCTCCTGCTGCTGTTCCTTCTCCTCCCCCTCGTCTGCCTCCGCCTGGTCCCGGGGATCCACGCGAAGGGGGGATCTGAGAGGGCAGCCCACCACGCCACTACCCGGGAGAGGCGAGTGAGCAGACTCCGGAGCTGCCGGCCGGAGTCCGAACTCCCGAAAGTACTGAGGGAAAAGAGAAAGAAAAAAAAAAAACCGGGGCCGGAAATTCGTACTTCCCACACTCGGTCCCCCCCCGGGACCCCAGGCGAGAAAGAGGATCCGGCGGGGCTAGGAGCGAGCCCCCCGCGAGGGGGAGCAGGAAACCTTGGAGCCGCCCCGGCCGCCGCCGCGCTGCTTCTGGGCAGCTCCGGGGACAGCGGCCCCCGAATGGGAAAAGGACGGATTGGAACCAGCTGCGGGGACTGGGACTGGCGGGCGGGGGCTGGGGAAGGAGGGCTAGAGGGGTGGGGGAGGGGAGGAGTGGGAGAAGAGAGAAGGCTCTTGGGATGGAGGGGAGGGGGACGGCCAGCAGAGTGGGGGCAGGGGGAAAGCCAGCTGAGGGCGGGGGCGAGGAGGGCATGAGCGAGGAGACCAAGGAAGTCTGCAGACACACAGAGCCATTTTTATTCGAAAAGAATAACCTGGCCCCTTCCCTCGAGCAGCAGGAGCGAGCGAGCGTCCCCTCCGAGCAATCGGGTGGAAGTCAATTGCCTGGAGAGAACCACCCTCCTGGAGTTGGAGCAGGAAGTTTCCCCAGATCTTGGCCTGGGGCCATCAGCATTATATAGGAAGTTCTTGGCAGGCACATAAAGGCTGTCTGGAGAGGGCTGGTGAGCGGGCGCTGTCACTATTGTACTACTAGAAGAAGCCGGCCCATGCATAGATGCCCCTGTGTTCTGGTTTCTAACATCTGGGGAATGAGACTGGGGTGGGTGAGTGTGGCATCAGCCCCCTGGTAGCGAGCTCTTGTTCGACATAGTTCCCAGAGAGCGTGTGCTGGCACCGGTTAGGCGGGGGCCTGGCAGGCCACGGCCAGTCAGTTTTCACAGTCAAGTCCTGTGAATTCTGTTACGACCTTTTAAGCCCTCTGAAGTCAGCTTCTGGGGGGTCTAGAATGCACTCTGTCGGGTGCATTTAAGGCCCATGGCATTGCCTGCTGGAGGGATTTGCTAGGCTTTCTGGAGCCTGCCTGCTACATTTTTGCTTTGGAAAAGGGAGCTTGGGGTGATAGGAAGAGTGCTGGAGAGATACAAAGCCAGAGGGCTGGACATGGAGTTAGGAAAACCCTGAGGTCTTAGTTGTGTGACCCTGGATATGTCACTTAACTTATATGGGAGCCTCAATTTCCTCATCTGTAAAATGGGGTCGGTAAGACCAGTAGTCTACCCATCTCTACGATTGCTGTGAAGTGTGAATGAGGCGATGAGTGAATGAATGAAAACACATTTATTAAAGTCCTTACTATGTGCTAAGCGCTGGGTTTGTGGGTTGTTTTGCAAACCCTGACCTGCTCTGTACTTGGCAGTTATAACTCTAGTAAAGGAAATGAAACAGTCATGAAAAGCAGTACACCATTACTTCTCTATACAATGCAACATAACAAACAATTATTAAGTGCCCAGTGTCAGCTGATATACAAAGTTCAGGTAAGACAAATAAGTGTTCCTACTTCAAGAAGCTTCTGGTCTAGACCCCACATTTAGAACTCAAAGGAGCCTTAGATACTAGTCTGTGCCCCTTATTTTACAGATGAGGAGACTGAGACCCAGAGAAGTGACTAAACAAGGGTCCAACAGTTAGCAGGCGGCAGAGGCCAGGTTCAAATCCAAGCCTTGTAACTCCCAAATCAGGCCCGTCCCATTAATTGTGGGATAAGATTCAGTGTTAGCAAAGTTCTGGGTGCCAGCTGAAAGGGGATGTTACTGACAGACTTCCTGAAAGGGGCAGTGTTTGTGCTGGCTGTTAGAGAATGGGCAGAATTTGCCAAATGAAGGCTAAAGCTAGAAGAATTCAGAGGAGGGAGATGTTCATGGCTGAGGGCTGGAGCAGGGAGGAGAGACTAGATTAGAGCTGGCCCTTGGATAGGATTTGGAGAAGTGGAAAGGAAAGGAAGTAGCATTCTCTCAGGAGAGGAGGGACCACCTGAGCAGAGGCTGGAAAGCAGGGGTCCACAGGTGACACCAGGCTGTCCAAAAGGCAAGGCACTCTGCTTTATTATCGTTTTCCCCGTCACTTAAGTTAAGACAATCAACAAAGCAATAAATCAAGCCCTGAATTGAAGTTTACTGATTTGTCCATTTCTGTGTAAATGCCTACGTCGAAAATCTAACAGTCTGCTCTGTCCAGTATGAGTGGACTCAAGCACACCCCTAACTATAGGAGCTAAGGGAAAGGGAAAGGAAGGGGACTTAGGTTACCCAATGGGGACCCTGCTGCCTCTGCTGGACAGATTCTAGAATGGCCTTGGGTGGGGGCAGTGGGGCAAAAAGGAAAAGAAAGGGGTAAGGTACCCCTGGTGGTGGTAGAATTTGAACTTAGAAGGGCAGCTAGGTGGCACAGTGGATAGAGCACAGGGTCTGAAGACAAGAAGACTCATCTTCCTGAGTTCAAATCTTTAGACACTCACTAGTTAGGTGACCCTGGGCAAGTCACTTTACCCCATTTGCCTCAGTTTCCTCATCTGTAAAATGAGCTGGAGAAGGAAATGGCAAACCCCTCCAGGGTCTCTGGCAAGAAAACCTCAAATGGGATCACGAAGAGTCAGATACGACTGAAATAACTGAACTTATTCCAAGCCCAGCTTTCAATCCACTACACCTTGCTTCCTCACATTGAGGGGTATGGTATAGAATGGAAGAAACCATGAGTTTGGCTCCTCAAATTCTTCTGGCCCTTTGATAAGAATCTGACAAAGTCCCCTGTGGCCCAGGGCTAGAGATCAAAAGTCATAGGTGAAGAGGGCAAATGGTGCCAATTGGGAGATGAGACCAAGTCATCATCTCCTCTCTAAGGGTATTCTTTTCTATCTCTCCGACTTTTCTTCAAAGTAGCCTGGTCAGCCCTGTTGTGACTCTGGCATGATCTTTAGTAATTGTGAGGCTGATGATACTGAAGAAAGGGAAAAAAGAGCAGGGGGACTTTATTACCTTCCCAAGTTACAAAATCACAATCTGTGCATGGCTTTTAAATGGCTTCTGCTCTTTACCTATGGAACTTGGTATTTATTATTTCTGCCAGGAATACAGAGGCTATAAAACACCTTCCTGAGTCTTTTGATGTCAGAAGATGATCACTTCTCCATAATGTTTCATTTTCTGGAAAACAATCCATCTGCCATATGTAGTTAGTGCCATTTGAACTTAATACCGTCTGCCTATTTCAAATAAGAACGAATAGTTCTTCCTGGTGCCTCGGTTTATTCCCATTTACAAAGAGGTGTCACTTAAACCCCTCCACTCTCATCGTGACTGAGAGCAGGAGTCCCTGATCCACAGCTGAAAGCGATATATTTAGTCTCCTTCCGGAAGAGAAGTAGACAGGAGTGGCTACCAGATGTTTCATCAATACTGTTTTACCTAAGGGAATCCATTTCTGTAAAGTGTGGCTTTTTGGATGGGAAGATCTTTGAAATCCTACACACACACACACACACACACACACACACACACACACCCAAGAGTACACATACATACATAGGTACATACATAAATACATAAATATATACAAATAAACATACATAGAAGGCATGTCCACTGTGGAGCTGTTAGAAGAAATTTCTGTGCCTGGGTGAGTGTCATAAAATTTGCTCAGGATAAATAGAATAAAACAGCTTCAGAGGCTGCTGGAGAGCAAGGGGAAAAACAGCTGAGTGGGCTGGGGCAGAGTCCCCCCAGGGCACAGCCAGCAGGGGCTGGAAGCATCTGGTAGCTTCCTAATTTCATTATTTATTCTTGCTAACTGGATGCTAAACTCAGTTGTTTCCATGTAGTAGAAGAACTTGCAGGGCTGTCAGCACTCCCTAAATTCCAGTGCCTTGTGGCAAAGCCCTAGTTCCCCCCACCCTAGTTACAGTTCTGGTGCTTTGCCTACCTGTCCTCAGTGACCTGGGCAGCTAGGTGGCACAGGGGATAGAGCACTGGGCCTGGAGTCAGGAAGAATCATCTTTATGAGTTCAAATTCAGTCTCAGATATTTCCTAGGTGTGACCCTGGGCAAAGTCACTTCACCCTGTTTGCCTCAGTTTCCTCACCTGTAAAATGATCTGGAGAAGAAAATGGCAAATCACTCCAGTATCTTTGCTAAGAAAACTCCAAAATGGGGTCACGAAGAGTCATACTTGATTGAATAACAAAAACTTCAGTGACCTACAATTCTTGGATGCTGAGCACTTTGGCATTTGGTGTTTGGTTTATTCCCAGAATATATACCTCTTCATGGTATGAAAATAGTATTCTTCATGAATTGAATATGATCAAAGAATCTGATAATTGAAAGAAATCACACATGATTCAAAAAATGTATTCTCATAATCTCCATTACAGTTGATGGTACCAATGATTCTTTCCTCTTCATCATAAAATAATTACCATAATAATAATAATGTGGGATGACACAAAAGACTTTGCATATATTTACTCCTTTGACCTTCAGAACAATCTGGGGGGCTGGATACTGCCATGATTATTGTCCCTGTTTTGCAGATGAGAAAACTGGC